CATTTTATATTGGAAACCAGGAGCTTGACGTATGCCATAACTATAAATATCTCGGGGTGAGCGTAAATGATACAGACCTGATCGCTTCTCTGAAGAATAGAATGGGAGAAACTGAAACCGCTGAAAGTTCTCGTCGGAAAAGGATACGGCACCAATGTTAAGCTCGCTGGACTGTTTTACTTAGCTTTTATAAGGTCAGTTGTAGACTACCATGTACAGCACTTATTGCAGTGTAAGGACTCAGAAATGAATAGCTTGGAGACAGTACAAAATGAAGCTATGAGGATTATCTTGGGCGCCCCGAGAACAGCAAGGATAGCGGACTTACCATCCATTTTTGATAGAATAATACATATTTGCACTTTATTTGGGGTCAAAGCTCTGAGGAAACCCTTGTATCTCACATATTTAAAAAACAGCTGCAACCTAAAATCACGAAGGCAGGCGAACCTAACCATACACATGAGCGGCCTCTGATACACAAATCTACATGTACATTACGAAGGTTAACGTCTCCCTAAGTAAAATACCAAAAGGTCGATCCATTCCCCCATGGAAAAAAAATCATCGCTGATTGTGCACTTTACATGTCTACCGCAAAAAAAAAAAAAAAAAAAAAAAAAGTACCTAACTGCGTGTTTAGCAACGGTAAAGGAACACACAGGATTTAAGGGCGATGTGTACGAATATTACGCAGGCGGCTCCGTACAGTCTGGATACAAAGCTGGTTGCGCTTGCGCTGTATACAAAAATGGGTTACTGCAACTTCAACTTAATATGAGAGGACAAAATTTGGCTAACACTACTCAAACAGAGCTGGCAGGCATACTCCTTGCAACAGCATACTAAATGTCTCGGGGCTCTTGAGTAGCCTTTTGTGACTCAAATCACTCCTTAAAAGCAGATGGCTATGAGGAAATTGTGAATTGCATTAAGCGTACGTAATGCAAGATTCAATATTCAGTTTGTATGGCTATTATCTCATGCTGGTATATGCAAGCACGACCACTTAGACGAATTGGCGAAAGAGGCTTGCAACAAAAGTAATGTAAATATAGAGTTTTTGGGAGAATGCCTCAATATATATATTATANAAAAAAAACGAAAAGAAAAGAACAAGAAGACAAAAATTTTAAAATCTTCCCGGCCTCCCATAACCACTTAACCTAACCAAAATTCCCTATGACCTCGATCGTGATCATATTAAGCCTTCATGATCAAATTAGCGTGACCCAATTAAGTTTCCAGAATCAAATCTCACTTCTCTAAAATGAAGAGCAGATTTTTACTTACAAAAAGCCTTCCATATTTTCTAACCTGCCTCCCGAAATTTTCCCGCCAAACGCCATTTTGACCGAATTTTCCCGCCCAAACCGTCCTTTTAATCGAATTTTCCCGCCAAACGTCTTTTTTGACCAAGTTTTCCCGCCAAACCGTCCTAACCGAAATTTCCCCGCCAAAACTGCTTTTAACCGAAATTTTCCCGCGCAAACTGCCTCTTTTAACCGAAATTTCCCGCCAAATTTTAACCGAATTTTCCCGCCAAACCGCCATTTTTAACCGAGCGAACTAGCGGAAACACCAAACCCCTCTGACCGTTAATTACTTGCGATATAAAACAATTAACAAAGGAACCCTAATTATTTAAGGCCAATTAACATCGATGCTAATTAAAAAGATCCTTCTAACGCCCTTAAGAGAGTTCATAAACGTTTTAATCATTTACCCAGAGACACGAACGCAAAAAAGTGAAAGAAAACGGGTGTCAATGAACCGAAAAGTTATCGAACGCGGTTTCAAAACTGGGTTTTCTCTTTTCATTTTTATTGACTTTTTTTGTTCATTACTTAATTTATTTGTTCAATATTGGAAAATAAGAAATTATTGTTGCACATGCCTTAACACAATGAAATAAATACAGAACATACACACACACGATCACGCGTACACACACACACACACACACACACACGCACACACACACACACACACATAAATATATATATAGACAGATACATAGATAGACTGAATCAACTATATTTTGGACTGTTGATGATAATGGTAACAATTAAAATCATTAACAAATTCTTTCCACCTTCCTACATGCTGTGGAGGATGAGAAGGAGAAGGATCTAACCTGACGTCTTAATAAATCCTCAATAAAGTCGATCGTAATTAGCTAATTTTGGCATCTCTTCTCAAGGAAATAAAATCTATACAATTACTCAACAATCCTATGCTATTAACCGATCCCAATGAGATATCTTTACGTCTCTTTAAGACAATAGTAATTAGCTAATTTTGACATCTCTTCTCAAGGAAACAAAATCTATATAATCATTTAACAATCCTATCAACCAATCCTATTGAGATATCTTTAAGTAAGATAATAGTAATTAGGTAAATCTGACATCTCCTCTAAAAGAAATTAAAAAATACAATTAGTCGACAATCCTATACAATAATTCAATATTAAGATCCTTTAAAATCTTTATCAATAGTTAAGGAATCCAATCTTATTTATCCAATAAGGGGAAAACAATGGTATATGATCAATCTAAAATACTTTATAATTAGTCAGACCTTTTAATAGTCAATCCTATTAAGATATTTTGATGTCTCTGTAATTATTTGAGGAAAACAATACCAAATAAACTATTCTTTCTCTCTCTACGTATATATTAATTGTTACGACGCTATGTATAAATTCTTTGTGTATGACGTAAAGAAAATGGGAAGAGAGACAATACGAAAGGGAGAACTATTATCCAAGAACATGAATAAATTATCTACACAGAAAAAGATGAAAGTTCTCATTTCAAAACAAGAATGAATATATACATAAATAAGATAAAATAGAAACGGTCCAAAATACAATAATAATGATAGCACTGAATAATAACAATAATAATAAGAACAATAATGATATAACAACAACAATAATAATAACAACAACAACAAAACAACAAATAATAATAATGATAATAAAATAATAATAATAATAATAATAACAACAATAACAAACCATCATCATAACAACAACAAACAACAAAAACAACAAAAAATCCCTCCAACAAACCCTCAACCCCCCCCAAAAAAAAAACGAAACCAACAACCGCACAACGACAACAAAAACAACAACAACAACAAAATCCCTCCAAGAAACCCTCAACCCCCCCCAAAAAAAAACAAAAAAACACGAAAACAACAACAACAGAACCCCCCCCCCCCAAAAAAAAAAAAAAAAAAAAAAAAAAAAAAAAAAACGAAACCAACAACAAACCGCACAAAACAACAAAAAACAAAACCCGAGAAGCGCCTCAGAGGACGCCGAGACGCCAAGGAGACAACACCTTCCTTCGCCCAATTATATTTCTTCAAGGTCTCTCCTCCTCCGTTTATCAAGTCCTCGCTGTCTACGTCTTCGTGAAGGTCATGGAGGGGTTGGGATAAGGTGCGTGGGAAGGATGGGGATTGTTTTTTGTTTGTTTGTTTGTTTGTTTGGGTTGTGAGCGAAGTCAAAATATGATAATGATGATAATAAGTGATAACAAGTGATATTAATGATGATGGTGATAATAATAATAATAACGATAATAATATATAAAAATATGATGATGATGATAATAAGTGATGACAACAACAATAATAAAATAATTGATAATGGTAGTAATAATAGTAGAAATAGTAATAGAAATAGTAATAGGAATAGTAGTAGTAGTAATAGTAATAATAAAAAAATAATAATGACGATAATAGTAATAGTAGTAGTAGTGGTAGTAATAACAATAAAAATAATAATGATAATAGTAACAGTAGTAGTAGTAGTAATAACAATAAAAATAATAATAATGATAAAAGTAACAGTACTAATAACAACAATCATAATGATAAAAGTAACACTAAAGATGATAATAATAACAATAATAATAACGACAATAACATATGAAAATAGCCATAACAGACAAACAAAAATAACATCATAATAACGACAATAACATACGAAAATAGCCTTAACAGACAGCCACGTGAATCCTTATCCTTACTGCGAATGGACGAAATTCCTTCCAGAACGTTGAAGGAGAAAGGAGAGCAACATCCTGTCTTGTTGCAGACCTCCTCA